GGTCTGCCCTCTTTTGGGAATTCGTTAAAGCTTGGGCAAGGATTTTCACAGGAATTGACACTAATCTCAAAAGTGCAACATGATTTCAGTCAAAATTTTGTTCCTGTTTCACCGGGACTGAACAATGCCACTACTGCCGATGAGAATTGGAGACACAGGAGTGCTTATCAACTGCAGAACTACCGTTGGCTGGGTCGATGTAAGGAGGCTGAGAAACTTTGATATGTAGATGGTTTTCGCCCAAGTGTGGTAAGCTTGTCTCGAATCAGCCACTAGGAAACTACTTTCTAGCTTTAGCCCTGCAGCCAGCCAGATATTCTGTAGTCGTGGCAAAGGATGAGAGAATTCCACCTGACTTAATTCAAAATTCGACAATTCATGCCCGCCCTAGGATATCCGAGACCAAGCATTTTGAAAAATAGCAGATTAAGAGCTCAATGAGTCCATCACTAACGATTGAGTGAATTTCGATGCCACTGTGATGTTGACCTGGTGGCGTATACGATGAAATCATTATAGAAGTCCATTAATCGAGAAAAAAGAAACATCATTCAAAAGTCCATTGTTGCTTTTTTTACAAATTTTCTCAACAAACAATGTGTGCCCGTTCTGTGAAATGGTGAAAAAGATAAAGAAAGATGTAAACCAAATGAGTGAATATTTCTCAAAAAAAACACGCCATTGGGGTTTCTCCGCATTTAGAATTTACAGGTGATAATCATGATCCCCAAGAGGTACCACACTTTTGGTTCAGCAAAAAGTTAGGATGTAGCTACATATATTAATGGAAGGCAATGTACATATAAACGGCCATAGTGGTGAGTTGCTGTGTGTCGTAGTGAACGTCGTAATGGGAGCTCTCCTGCGAAAAGGGGGTGGGTGTTGTTCGTTAAATTTTTTCACATCACTTAACGGATTTTGACTCTGTATAAATCTTCCTGAGTTGGCTCTAGGTAACTAAACCAGGGGGACTGCATTATTGCACCAATACTGGCATGACTGCAGTTTTTGAAACAATAGCGAAAACACTGTCTTTTGAAGATTTTACGTTCTTAAATTTCTTGAACTCCCTTATTTTACCAGTGGGCTTTCGGCACTAATGTCATCATCATCCTTCCATTTCAGTTATTGCAACTGCATTACACTCAACACATTACATCTGTACATCTCAAAAATGTCGAATACTGGAGGAGATCTATTAGGGTCGGGAATGAGCGAGAAGTGGGAAGTCAATGCTGCGGCAAAGGACATCATTATCACGCAAGTCTAGAAGGTGAGGCAACTCCTACTTCGATTATTGCTAACTGATTTCTGGTACTGATGACATGTATTTTCGACGATTCCATTATTCATTTGCAGCGGCAGTACCAAAGCTGTCACATCGAGGTATGGAGTGTTGCGCTATTAATGCCTTATCCTATGGTATCTGGAGAGGCTACTGCAAGAAAGCAGCGGGACTGATTCGGAATGGCTGCAATCAGGGACTGTTGAGATCCTACTGTATATTATCCGCAAAACGGTTATGCGTGTATGTATGTGCCTGTCAGACTGGAAATTAATAACTGCCCTCTATTTGGGCCCAGAGCGTTCACATAATGAAGGGAAATTGTTTCAAGGCCCTTCCTGGTAGAAAGGGCAACAGCAGAGTGGAAGAAATCTCACGGCAAACGATATCGTCCCCCAAATATTGGTACCATAAACACCCAAGGCCTGGAGTATGCGACGCTGTAATCGTTTAGTTGCTATCAGAATTGGATAGAAATGCCACAGATGTCGCGTGTGTTCAAGAAACGCTCAGAGATGAATCAGGAACATGGAACTGGGACAAAAGTCATACTAGAAGCCGGCACGAGGAATGGAAAAGTTGGTGGAGCGGGTTCATTGTGGCGCCGCATTTGGTTTCGAGGATAGCTCACTGCGAAGTTGTTTCTGAAAGAATTCTCAAGATTGTGATTGAGTTGGGAAAAGCAAGCAGGATGAAAAATACGTCAATAAAAGAACCTATGATGACGATGCTCTCGAAGAGTTTTATGATGCGCTTGAACGAGCAATAAACAGTTCATCGAGAGGAGATCATATAGTATGTGCTGGACTGTAACGCTCATTTAGAACGAGAAGAACATGGAGAAAAGTTCCGTGGGACCGTATGGAATTCCAGGACGAAAACATCGTGGAGAAGCGTTAGCTTAGTTTAGCGAAAGATGTCGGTTATCGGTGGCGAATACATACTTCCAGAAACGTCAAGGGCGCCGATGGACTTTCCACACCCCAAACAGAACGATGTTTCATGAAATCGACTTCTTTTTACGAATTGCTACGACTTTTCCATAATGTTACAGTCATTCGGAATCACATTTCAACATCGGCTCAGATCATCGCTTGGTTCGAGCAACGATAGTAGTGAAACTGAAAGAAGAGCGGAGACGATTAGCTGCATATCACTCGAGAAGAACTAGATATGAACTATCCGATGAAATGCTTGAAGCGCTTGCTGCCACCACAGATTTTTCACGGGACATGGTAACGTACACATCAAATACGAAAAACTGACTTCCGACATCCGAACCCTTTTAAAAAATGCCTCAGAATGCGTCCGGAGCAAACCACGAGAGCGATTGAGTGCCACTACCCTACAGATGTTGGCCTCAGAAAGAACTGGGGAGAAATACGATCCCTGTAACTAGCTGAACGCTGTTGAACAAGGCCATAAGTTACAGAGTCAGAAATGATTCATCGAGTATGGGTCACGAAGAACACAAGAAGCAGCTGAGAAGTCGATAAGTCGAAAGAACATATATCATTACTCGACTTAGAACCATCATCCCTGAATTCTTGACAGAAACAGATGGCTCTGGTGTCCGAATCCTAAGGGTATGAAGGGTATGGAAGAAGAAATTCAAAACTTTCTCCAAGACTTGTCTCCTCCAAAAAGCAAAGTACAGTCGATAATGACGTCATTCAAGGATCCTGACGTAACACGCGGAAGAGAATGGCGAGCTTCTGGATCTGAATTGGTACGGGCAATCCGAAACATGGAGCACGATAACAGATGAAGAAAGAAAACTGGCAGCAACCCAAAGAGCAATAGAACGAGCGGTGACGTTAATGCACAAAATTCCAGCACGTGAGATTCGAAGGCGGACCGGTGTAAAAGATGTCATCGAGACCATTTACGATTCGAAAAAGCGATGGGCAGGACATGTTGCCCGTCTTAACGACAACCGTTGGACATCACGAGTGACCGATTGGTATCCCCGCGGAGTTAAAAGGCCGCAAGGAAGACCCCCAGCCAGGTGGAGTGATCCTTTTAGGAAATTATTTGGACAGAGATGGCAACAAATGGCAAGAAATCGAAACGAATGGCATAGATGCGTCCTGCAAGGATGGCGTGAACACCCTTGAAGAGCGGACATCAAGGAATTCGAGGTACGTTGTGAGTTGAAGCTGATATCAAGAGGGTGGGAGAAAAAAGTGATAGCGAGACAAGAACTGATAAGAGTATGAATACCACCAATTTCGTTGCGGTCTTCGCGGTCACAGTGAACCTCCGCTCTTCCATATGGTATGGAAGATCTAACGGGAGCAGGAGTAACGACTTATCTTAAGTGACAACAATCGATAACAGTTGATAAAAGTTTGAATAAGAAGTTTGGGATTGAGCAATCACTTCATTATATAAACCAGAACTTTGGTGTGTCGGTTTGTCGGTGTGTGTGTGCGTGTGTCGTTCTGTCCGTCCGGACCGACCGCTCACAAAACCAGGGAGTACGAAGGGCAACACTTCGTGATGTTGATGTCATGATCATGATAAACCCACAGCGGCTATATAAACACCTATCTAG